GTAAGCTGTACAGTGATATATAACAAAGGTCATAATCCATCAGAAGCATGGACCGTTAACAGGCTGGCTGGAATGATTAAAAAAAGCCGACAGATGATAGAATGTTAAATAGACGGATAGACAGACAGACACACAGATAATTGATTAATTTGGCAGGCAGATGATAGAAGGAAAAATGACTGATGATTGGCCATGACAGCTGAAATAGGGTAGTGAATAAGATCAGAAAGCATTTAAAAAAGATGTTTTTCTAAACAAAGAGGTTGACCATGACACAGAAGGTGTTTAGAACTTTTAACGAAGCAAGGTGAGTGGGAATGTCTAAGTGAGGGAATGAAGGACACTGCTGTGTAGATGTAAGGATCATTTAGTACAATTCATTAGTAAGTTTAATCATGAACCTTAAACAAGGAAATGGTCATCAAAAGACTTCAAACACACAAATGTATACCCGCCTCCTAAAGACAGAATTAGCCAATAGAATTACAGAATTCAGTTTATACCCACCTCCTAAAGACAGAATTAGCCAATAGAATTACATAATTCAGTTTATACCCGCCTCCAGAAGACAGAATTAGCCAATAGAATTAGAGAATTTAGCTCGGTAGATATAGTAGTTTTAGTAGTAAGAGATAATAGGGGATATAAGAGGTAGAGGAGAGAAAAGATGAGGGAGAAGAGGTGAGGAGAGAGGAATGGAATGATAAAGATTCTAGATCATGTACCAGGAACTTAATAGAAAATAAAAGGAAAGTGGAACTGAAAACAATAGTGTTACAATTCTTAAATAGTTTTTGACTGTAGATAAGACAGATGGGAATCAATAGGGCGATAGTTGGTTGAATTAGATGACAGACAAATTATTTATACGAGAACAGGTGAGCAGGTGGGTGGGTGGATGGATGGGTGGGTGGATGGACAGATGGATGGACAGATGGAAGTATATACAGACATACAGAAAGACAGCAGTTGGTTAGATTATCAGAAAGATGGATGGAAATTAAATCTAACTGGAAATAAAATTCAAAATCCTGTTTCATGTTTTCAGATGATTGGAGGTGAAATATGAAGAAGTTTACGTTGCTGGTGGCAAATTGGATCTTTTCCGGTAGAACTCTATCACTCTACCGGACAGACAAACATCAGCCACTCTTTTCCGGTAGAACTCTATCACTCTACCGGACAGACAAACATCAGCCACTCTTTTCCGGTAGAACTCTATCACTCTACCGGACAGACAAACATCAGCCACTCTTTTCCGGTAGAACTCTATCACTCTACCGGACAGACAAACATTAGCCACTCTTTTCCGGTAGAACTCTATCACTCTACCGGACAGACAAACATTAGCCACTCTTTTCCGGTAGAACTCTATCACTCTACCGGACAGACAAACATCAGCCACTCTTTTCCGGTAGAACTCTATCACTCTACCGGACAGACAAACATCAGCCACTCTTTTCCGGTAGAACTCTATCACTCTACCGGACAGACAAACATTAGGACAGACAAACATCAGCCACTCTTTTCCGGTAGAACTCTATCACTCTACCGGACAGACAAACATTAGCCACTCTTTTCCGGTAGAACTCTATCACTCTACCGGACAGATAAAACATTAACCACTATTTTCCGATAGAACTCTACCACTCTACTGGACAGACAAATGGTAGCCATTCTTTTCCGGTAGAACTCTATCACTCTACCGGGCAGACAAACAAACATTAGCACTAACAGCTTTCATTCTATCATCACCACATCTCACTCATTCCTTCAGTTTGTAAACAACATCCCACGCCTGAGAAAGCGTGAAACATGGGGACTCTATGAAAATCTATTCTGACTTATTTCCATTTTTAAGCTTATTGAATTAGAAGGATGTCACTTTAGGTAATTTGTTTTGGCTACTGCAGAAAATGGATTATTTTCTCTATCATTCCTGGTATTCAAGAGTATTTGATTTCCGGAACCATCTGTAGAACTGCCGCTAAGTGAATAAACGGATAGAAATAAACAAATACAATTTGACAGGAAATGTTCTGTTTAAGTGTTTCTGATGAATATTTTGCTGAGTACATTACTGTAAGATGGAAAATAAAATTCTCTTTCCGCTTCATTACACTCTTGCAGTTTTTCCTTGTTGTAAATGTGTTGCTTCACACCCACTGATGTGCGATATTTGATACATGAAGGGAGCATTGATATTGCCAAAGAATTGTGTTGTTTAACATGTAGTTCTCCAAAGAACTCTTCAATGCTGCCTATTACGTACAAAAAAGGAAGTAATTTTTTCCATTTTTTCTTTCTTTTTTTGTGTGCTGGGACTCAAATTAGATTACTAACCCCATGCTTTACTGATTACAAGCAGCAAGTAGAATACTGGTAATACACTTTTCTGTCACCTTGGTAACCAAGGTTTGCTTTCCAAACCAAAGTTGAAAACATATGGGGTCCCTCATTTGAGTGTTCACAAATTTTCCAAGGAGAATTTATTAGTTTTAGAATCCGTCAATCAGTTCCAGCCTTGGCAGACAAAACTGAACTGATATATGAATATTTACAAAGTTTTGATTATTTCTAAGTTTGAAGGCTGAACTTTCAATTTAACTGTACCACTTATCTTTCAATTTAACTGGCAACACTGCATGTTGTTGTAAATTTAGCGTATTTGACCCCTGTGACCCTGTGAATGAAAGTCAAGGTCGTTTATTTGAACAAACATGAAAACCCTTTATCCCAGTATGCGACAGGCCTAACATCATGACCCTGGGTTATTGGGCTATAGGGAAGAAGTCATCAAAAGATTTAAATACATTTGACCCCTTTGACCTTGATATATATCATGACCCTGGACCATTTGGTTATTGTGAAGAAGTCACGATGGACAATGCATGAGGCCGGACAAAAGACAATCGCAATAGGTCACTAGAAACTTCATCTAAGGTGACCTGAAAATTAGAATTATTGCCACACGCTGGATTGATGTACAACCTAACTCAAAAAAAGCAGAAATAGAAATACAATATTATACCATTTATGTCGGTAGAAATATCATCAAATATCACAATTCAACATCTCTTACTTAAATAATCATTTATGTGGTTCTATAAAATCATTAATTTTTGCAGGAGGTTTAACTCTCATTCACATCATGGGTACATTTTACCTACAAATCCATACACGTATGTACTGTATAAATTGGAATAAGCAGCTTTATTAAGCGACACCTATCTGTGAAATCACGTGTCCAGCAAAAGGTAATTATTTTCGAAAATATAAAAATTTTGTCTCACAAAAATATTGGATTTTACAATAATCCAGCTTCTAGGGTGTTATATGTATTTCACTTCTTCAGCTTTTTCCATGACAAATAAAAATTTCTACCCCAAAATTCAATACTGAGGCAGACATAAAGCCCACATTTCATCAGAATATAGCTGTAGAAGAGACATAAATATAGTCTCTCTCTTAAAATGTAGCATATCACATGAGACATCAGTTGCCATGGTTATGAAAGGTAACTTGAAGCAAATTGCTATATTTCTAGCCATTGTTGGTGAGCAGATTCTACGTAATTGTTTATAACAGATGGTTTTGAAATACAAAGCTACTTATCATTAGCTTTGCACAGGCTCTCTATGAATTCTCTGATAATACAATGCATGGGCCAAATTTCTGATGAATGCATGCAGTTTATAATAATAAAATATTTGAAAATTTCACAGAGTGTCCCAGAGGGATCTTGGCGCCCACCATTGTATGATATAGTAATATCGATAAACATAGGAAATGTCCATTTCTAGTAAAAGCTGCTGCAAATCAGATAGTCAAAATCCAAGATGTCTATCTTTCAGTTGTTGCGCCTGACCAAGGGAAATGAACACATGAAATCTGTCATAGATCAAACTAGTCTACAAGATATAAAACCGTAGGAGAATCAATCGCAACAAGAACAAGTGTCACCAGTGACTGTTGACACTTGTTCTTGTTGCGATTGATTCTCCTACGGTTTTATATTTAATATTTCGTTAATCGCCCTGCATACCTTTGGTATCCAAGCTCAAGTGAAGCGCCTCACTGAAGAAACCACTTACCTGATACTGTCTACAAGATATAGCAACAACAAATAGTCTCTAAAAATCCAAGATGGTCGCCTATTGGCTATTTCCATATTCTGATCAGATCCAAAACAGATCATGCACAGAAGGGAACCAGGGAAACTAACACACGAAATTTGATAATGATCCATGTAGAGAGTTCTTGAGAAATAGCAATAGGAAAGTACAACTGGCTGTCTGTCAGCCATGCTTTTCTTTTTTAATCAGCCTTGAAAAAACACTATGCACAACTTGGGATCAAAGAGGCTTGAAATTTAAGGACGATCAAATCAGTACTGATTTAGGAATCACAAGAATTGTGTAAGGAAGGTCAGACAAATCTTACAGAACACAGGTAATGATGGCTGGCTAAATATTAATCTATTGTCACAAACAAAGACAATTTTGTTTAATGAAGTAAAACTGACTTACTGCAGGAAAATGAAATATGATTTGTTTGTAATTCTACTGAATAGCAATATATATGGGTGGGCTTATTACTATTCATGGGCCTTTATATAACAGATTGATTTTATTTCTAATCGCATGGTGAAGATAGTCGGGTAGCACATTGGTAACACTTAAATACACCTAGCTGTCTGGGGTTCAATACTCAAACAGTTATGAAAAGGTAGGCAGTTACCTGTTATCCACATGGTACTGTGGTTTACCCCCGGAGTAAGATCCCTCACTCATTTATACCTAGGCCAACAAAACTAAAATAACTGGTTTCAAATTTTTGGTAAAAAAAGAAAATAAGAATTCAAATTAAATCTTAATCCCGTGATAAGTGTTGTTCACTTTATTGGCAGCAGTATCAAAATACATATCAGTTATGATGTCGTGAAAGAAGACTGAACACAAAGAAAACATTCTAAAATCACACAGAAAATACTTCTTTACCTTTCAAAATATCTTCTCAGCTTTTCCACAGACACAGAATTCTTTGATAAACCATCTCTACCACCCCTATCAGTCACTAATGAAATCCTCCAATCTTCCATTTGGGTCATGTTTTCAGTTTCTTCTTTAAAATGGTTTGAACAAAATAAACGATGTTCTACCAAATTGAAGATGAAAGTTGTGATATCATCACTTTTTGTAAAAAGGAGATTTTTTTCCTGTTTGGAATGTCACACATTTTGTCTCACAATATAGCCATATCCAATGAATCTGGTGACACGAAAAATAAAAAAAAAGTAATCTGAAATTTATATTAACTCAAAAACCATTAGTACGCTATGTTAAAAACTCTTTGTAGTAAATAGTATTTCTTACTGCACCAAAGCTCACACTCAAAGCTAATATCCCTTCGTCAATCCCTTTAAACAGTAACTTTATTATCCCATCTAAATACTTTTTTCTTGACAGACACATATTCCATCAACGTTAAAAAAATTCCACACAAGTTGTTCAAAGAAGATAGCATTAATGATTTCCTTGTAAATTATCACAATGATACACTCCAAGATAATTTTGTTTTTCACATTCACTTCATATCTCTAACGTGATGCACTAGGTACATATATATTATATATATAAGTGACTCAAATTCCTTTTCACACTATATTCAACTTCAGATATAACTTAAGTGTGGCACTTATCACAGCAGTACAAGGTACATCCTAAAGGACAATATTTGGGTTGTCAAAGCTGATCGGAAATGATATATTTCCTTACAGACATGTGCGTTGATAAAATTCATACACAGTGACAGGCCCTCCAATACTTATTAACGCTCGTCATTAGAAAACAAGGAAAGCAAATAAAATGAAAATGCTAGAACATGAAAGCAAGAAAATATGCAAATATGAATTCTGAAGCTAATGCAACAAGCAACAGATCTCAATTTTGCAGATAAAAAATTAAATGAGACACAATATGTTTCCATCTCCTTTGTTAATTCTATATTAGCACTGACCAACAAAATTCCTGTTTTCACAAAACCAGTTCACCTTGTGTTAATTTTGTGTTTGCTACAGAATTTGATATTGAAATATAATGGTTTAATTAAAAAAATTATGAAATTACGTTTTCCAGTAAATTAAAATCATCCATTTAACCATATTTGGTCATAAACCTTATCTAACATTTCCTAAGACTTTATTATTGCATACACATGATTGATCAAACAGGTATGTACATTTGAGAGAATTTCAAGCAATATCTTATTACAGTTAATATCCAAGAATAAGCCAATGTCTGATAATAAGCCCATGTCTGATAATAAGCCCACAAAAATAACATGTTTAAGTTCAGTAGAAATGTTAACAATTGCTATTTTATTGACCTGTAACAAGCCTAGCCCTTGTGAGCTGGTCCTATTTACCTATTGATGGTTAGATATGTGGTATTACATAATTCACTGAATTTAATATGCCTTGTGGGGGGAGGGGGGGGGGGCAAACACACTTACTTCTTACTCTTGTTAAAGAAGTGGGTGTACACAAGAAGAATAGAATAGCATTTGATGATGTGAGCAGGACCCTATGGAAAAATATAGCAAGAATCCATATTCCTCAATATTCTTATGCTAAAAAGATTTTTCTTACAAAAACCTCACTATTTACTTTCTGAAGATAGCACATGAAGACCCAAAAGTATTCTATCTTATGTTTGTGGTACAACTTATGTAGAAAAAACAAATTCAGAAAAATAATCGATTTTTCCTTTATTTATAAATATATTTTCATATAATTCTTACCATTGTAAATTGTTTTTTCATACTAATGAGGGTGGAAAATAACGCATTAAAAGATGTTTTGTTAATGTAACAAGACAGAAAGAAAAAAACATGTTGTCATTGCCATGCAACTGAAATTAAAATGTGAAGCCCTCGGGCCTGAAAGGTTCGACCATCATATGCTGACAGCAATTCATTTGCTAGACCAGACTTAACAAGTTCTCGGGATTGATGTTTGTTTTTGGCACATCATGGATACTGAGAATTACCGGTAAGCTTTTAATATGTTTCTGTATTAATCTCGAAAAAGGTCAAAACTGCAGATTTTGAATTTCTTGCGGCTGATTTTGATTAAAGCTTATTCCAAACCTTCACCAGACCCTGTCAACAGAACTGCGCAAAACAAACCTAACCCTGTACGATTGCCAAACAATTCTAACACAGAAAATTACCAGGGAATACGAAAATTAGAAAAGCCTGTTGCAATATATTGGTAATGTTTCCAATGAATCAAACTTAAATTGGACCTGTGACATGTACAAGTATCAGCTTAATATATTTACATTAATATCAAACTGACGCTTGTGACAAAACACTTCATTTAAAACCGGCCATTTCCAAACTGATTGATGTGTTCAGACTGCACTGACTTTGTGACGCTCAAATGCGTAATTGACATCAAAACGACATGAAAGTATGAACATCTGTTTTTCAGTCACCAATTACAAGAGTTAAGGTGACCCAGAAAAACAATATTGACATCTTTTTTTTAATCGATTCTTTAAGTTCTCCCATAAAAAATGCTATTTTTTCCAATAATCTCTTTTTACTGCTGCAGTATTCTTTCATAACATTCTGGTCTACTTTTCTGGTTTGGTAAATATCTTGACTTTAAAAGATTCTATAAATACAAAATGAGTAACAAAACATTGAAAGAATTTGTTTTATTTTTCAATATCGTAATAAAAATTAGTTTTTAATCCAATCAACTGACAAGATTTGAACTTTTAAACATAAAGAATGAAAAAAAAAAATGCATTTCCTTCTGTCAATCAAGGAACAAAATGGTTGAAGCATTTCTGGGATAATCTTCATGTATGAATGAGTCTCTTGGAAACTGTTTGTTTGTTGCGATGAACAGCATTGTTTAGGAGAAACTAGAATAATTTTGTTGATTTCATTGCCTCCGTCAACTGTCAAGGTCATTTTCAAGTTGAGTCTAAGCTGACAGCATAATTGTAACTTCACTGAACAAAATATGGGAGGCTTGAAAAATGCTTTTCATAGCAATTAGGGTAAATAGCCCTGCCCCAAGGACACAACCATATCAGCACAGATCGGTCAGTTTCTCAGCAAACTGCCAGCTGCCATTGGAAGGGAGCACTGAACCGATAATGCCTTGGATTTTTAGCTGCTGAGGTTTAGATGGCCAACCCTCTACCGACTATGGAGTGTCATGGCCCAGGTCAATTATGATTCAACCTTTGGGCATTTTTATAAAAAGATCTTAATTCAAAATAAAGACTATTAAAAATGAATTAAAACTATAGTATAACTATATATTATGAGCTATAACAGATCTGTTAGTAAATATGTGTTCAAGAGGAAGAACAATAGGCCGGGTTGGGGTGGTGGCCTCTTATCCAAGGTGGTCTCTTTATACAGTACTGAAACTATTTTGAGGGAAAGATTAAAATGCAGGTCTTATGCATTCTGATTATTATCAGTCAGGTCAACTGTGCGGGTTTGATTTTATACTGTTTGCTGTAAGGGAAACAAACATTCACCCCCAAAAATTTTTAAACTCACTCTCCCCCTCCCCCAATGAAACTGTCCATCTTTGCCTTCATGTGCACAATTAGATTCACCACTGGTAACACAAAACTTCTACTACTGTCCTGTTGACCATAGTGATATTTGTAAAAAAAAATACTTATTAAGAGTATAATCAAAGAAAGATTAAATTACCTTTCAATAGATATGTACTGGTATCTGTTGTTTAAATTCATAATGTTGCTTTCCCTGTCACTTCAGTGATGTACATTGCATACAGTTGCTCCACGTTAACATAACATATGGCTTCAGATCCTCATGGACGTAAACAAATATTAGCCAAAGTCAAATGGCTGAACATTGTTAGTTGGTTATATGTAAATAAGGCTGAATAAAAATTCTTCTTCCTCGTTAAACTCAAAAATATGTCCTTCCTCAAGCAGGAAAACTTCCCTTCACAAAACCAATAATACCGACAAAATCTGAAAATATATACTTCCCGACTACAAAAATCACTTTATGGCTTGATTAAATTTCTCTTAACGAATCATTTATTTCCATGAAATATACACATACCCTATTCCATCAAATAATGATTGCAATTCAAAGAAACTGGTGAAATGCAGGAAAATGTTGCACCAACTTTCCCGTTTTTTTTTCTGAAACTATCCCAAAGAATGAAAGTTACAGAATTCCAGTTATGTGTAGGAAAAAATCAACTACAGATGTTCTCACATTAGATAATACACCACATCCAAGTTTATTTCTATACACTAAAGCCATCAAAATGTTCGTACTCTTCTTGAGCAAAACTTATCCCAAAAATCTGGCAAGTGAATCACATGAGACTTTTGTAACACAGTATTTTGGCATTGAGTTAAATTTTTGTAGTTGAAATTTTATGGTCAACAGTTGACCCCATAACAGCCGTTGTTTTAATCTGTTATATATCAATTAATGAAATTAAAACAATATTAAGTCAACACTGGTTATGGATGGAAGCAGCTGTCAATTTGATTCATCTAGTCAACTTGAATAACACAAACAAGTATTCATTTTTTTTCATACACATTGTGAAATGAAATTCAATTTGAAATTATAATTTTAAATCAAACTCAAAAACACATTTTTTTTGCTTTAAATTCAATTTTCTTTCTTTGGATGATCAGGTTTTCATATCTTGGTCAAGATTTTATGAAGCTGACAATACTTGTAAAGTAGGAAGTCTGGTTCCTCTTACAACACTTTCCAGAATACTGACCCTGATCAGCACGCCTTCGCCATGTAATGCTTTGTCAGCTTAATCCATCACTAACAGAATTATTTTGGAAATCAATATCTTATATTCAATTTTCTTTTCTTTGTATTTTCAGAATCCTGGTTTGTAAGAGTGAAGATTTTACCATTGTTAATATGTTTTTATATACAAACATCAATACTTTTTGAAAACATAATTTATCAAAATCATACATCTGCATTGTTTTAAGCTTCTTATCCGTTTCATAGAAATCATGTTTGTTTCTCTGGTAGTGCCTTTCTCATCAGGGGATGTAATTTATTAATAAGCATGATACAGAAACCCCATCCTTTCCAAAAGCCCAAAACTCATAAGCGTGGGATTATTTACGAGGGACAATTTACAAAAAAAAACAAAAAATACAGTACATCAAAATCTATATCTAGCAAAAAACAAATTATGATTTCACGAGGATGTTTACGAAATATATACAAGAGTGCAAATTGTCCTTGACCTCTGACCTGACCTTAGACCTCAATGACACTTTGGCCTTGTTTACCACCACATTGGAGCATGCTGTCTTACAGCAGAAACAAGGAAAGGAAATGTTCTGAATAATTTAAAGGCTGCGAACAGAATGATATTGAATAAAGAAGGCTGTAGAAGAGATAGATGTATTATGTACCTAGTACTAGCCTATCCTTCTATCACTGTCACGTACAGTGGGGTGAACACAACTGACCATACTGACAGAAGTACAATGCAACTGTTGATTGACTACTTGATTTGTATAACACTGACCGATCTTTTAAGAGAGAGCTAAATGGTAAAAAGACATTTTTCCGCTCACATTTTCAATACTGATCTATGTTTCATATCTAATTTGTACAAAAGAACATTTAGAGTTCATTACTTCGTCTAAATCTGAAGATCAGTAGAAAGCAAAAAAAATCTACAAATCTAACAGTGGATAATGTAGAAAAAATAATTAAAAAACTAAAATCCAACAGGGTGCAATGAAAAGACAACTGATTAATTTTCATCTACCCTGTTCCCAAAAGAACAAATACTCTACCATGTTCCCAATGGATATTTGAACACAACTGGTACCAAAAACAGTTTTTTATTCAAAGACAATTTTATATGAACCTTATCTAAAGTACATGTCATGAATATTCTAATTAAATATTGATTGAAACAAGAAAATAAATTGAAATGAGGGTTGCGGTAAAACTAATTAAACTTAGACACTTTTTTTTTCCCATAGCAATGTTTAAGCCTGCAAATACAATTAGCTCCAGCACACTGTTTGCAGAAGCTGAATTCAATTCTTCACAATTTAGGTTAATTTTCACACATGGGATTAAAAACCATTGTATAAAAGGAATACATCAGTTTAAAGATGTGACTTGTTGTCAACATAATCCTTTAAATAAAAGAGTATGTGTAGATAATTTCAATCTAGAGGAATTTTCAGTAAACATATCATGGAAATTTCAAATTAGTCCTTTTACAGCAACCCTCATTATTTTTCCCCAAATAGTTTTTAAAAATTTAAAACAAGGGAGATTACTTTTCACAGGAAGTTATTAGGACTTTAGGTTAATTTCTGGAGACTTTGATGCAAACGATTCCGATATTTGAACCACAATTCAGAGTTTCAATCACTGCACTGAGAAATGAAAAAATGTTAAAAGAATTTAATCTTTAAATTAGCAAAAATTTAAGAATTTAGAAAACCTAGATAATGCAAAGCATGACAATATCGCATGTGCCCCGCTGTTTAAAAGAAAG